CCCTATTTTAGGTCTTTTAATTGGTTTTTAGGTCGTTCTGTAGTTTATTTTGTTGTTCACTTTATTTTGGTTTTTCTGGTATTTCTCGGTCGTTTTTCGGTTGTTTGTCGTTGTTGGTGTGCAGGTTGGAAGTCTCTGGAGAACAGTATTTCGAGAAAATATTAGTTAGGCAAGCGTGATCGAATAGAGCATTTCGTTGGGAGTACACAAGAAAAAACATAAACTTGATTCGGAGTCCAGACGAACCCATACGAGCCCAAAATGTGATGTTGTGCAAGCTATCCACCAGCCTGCCCAGGCCGCAGGCCGCACCAGCGTCACGACACGCACAGAGGAGCAGATATCGCCCAGCACGCCGCGACGCCCAGCATGGCACGACAGCAGGCCCCCTCGCGCGCGCGTCACTCCAGCATTGCGCTATGCCAGCAGTCCTCGCGCGCGCGATGCAACACCACAGCGCGACAGACTGCGCGCGGCACGCCCACGGCGAGGCAGACCGCGCGCGATACGCCCCACAGTGCGATGCAATAGTTCCTCGCGGCGCGTCACCCCAACACGGCGTGGCACCACGCGCGACACATCTCCACAACGCGACACAACACCCCATCGCTCGCAGCAGCCCATCACGGCGTGCGACCTGCTCACGGCGCGACACAGCCTCCTAGCACGCGCGGAATCCTAGCACGGCGCGGCGACCTATCTCTATATATATTCGTGCACGGATCGCGACCAGATTATTATTCTCTCTTCACGCAAAAACACAAAAACCCTTCTCTCGTTCTTTTAATCGTTTTTTCATATTTCTTCCATCGTTTTAAACGTAGAACAAGGATTTAATCTCAGATTTTTCTTTTGCTTTTGGATTCAAGCTTGTTTATCGAATTCAACCTTGAGAATTATCAATCGTAAGAATTTTTTTTATCTTTATCGTTAATTATGAATTCTTGGATTGTGATTGCTTTCGTTGATTGTTCGATAATGAGTAGCTAAATCCTCATGCTAGGGATAGGGGTTGATATTTTGATTTCGATTATGGTTGTCCGGCTTAAGATTGTTCAATTCATGCGAGTCTTTTACTAAAGTTTTCAATCATTGTTCTTGAGCTTTGAGAATTGTTGAAGGGTGACACTTCAACTTGCAATTGTGTTGATTGGATTTGATAAATTCGTGCATGATGATAGGAATTCTAAACGGGCTAGTTGATTAACCACTTTCTAGTCTACTTTAATCTACTCTTAGAACCGAAAGGGGAAGAGTCGGTCAAAATAAGCTCGTATGAACTAGGCTTGTTCATAATTGTATTGCCTAGTCGTTAAATGAATTGTTAATTTGTTGCTCAGGCCTATTCTCTTGTTACGAAAAGTTATTGAGAATGAATACTTGAACGATAGGCTATTCAAATCACTTAACCAAACAATCTCTTGCCCGATAATTGCATTTCGAACCAAAACGGATGTCCCCGACTCCCTAGCTCCTTAAATCCTATTTGTTTTTTGACTTTGCCTTGCTATATAGTTTGCTTTATTCGAATTTTTAGTAGTTAATAACAAAACCAATTATTTGATTTAGAATGTTTAGTAATTTTATTTTCTTTTTTCGTGTTTGAATAATCGTACAAGTTAACCTTCCTCGTGAGACACGACCCGGTGTTTGAATCTTTTGATTCTACTCCAGAAAATGTTTACAACAACATATGGTTCAAACCTCTAGGCATTTTACCCATAGCAAAAAATTCTCAATAGCCAGACAAACATGAAATTTCACCACATGCCAAGAAAACTGAAAGAAAAATGCAATAAAGCCATCAGCTCCAGGAGCTTTGTCCTTTTCCATGCCAAATAAAGCTTCATTAATTTCCTCCTCACTAACCCTTTTAGTCAAATCTGCATTAATCTCATGTGATATACACTGGGTATACCTTCTAAGTTACAGTTATGACCTAACGGATTAGAGGACCTGAAAATATTATCAAAATAATTCAACAGCTCAAATAATGTCTCCAAAGAAGAATTGCAAAAAGAGCCATCAGCTTCCAGAATACAATCAAGACTATTGACTTTTCTTCTCTGTTTGACATTAGCAGAAAAAACTTGGTATTTCTATCCCCCTCACACAACCAATGAACCCTAGCCTCCTGTTTCCAGAAGGACTCCTCAGCCTTATAAGTTAAATGTAATTCAATTTTGCAACTAATCCAGTCCCCCCAATTTCTATCCCCACCCAATTCTCTAAGGCTGCTCAATTTAGCTTTACAGTTATCAATCACAACACTAGCATTAGTCATCTTACCTTTCTTCCAGTTAAGGAGAACTAATCTAACATTTTTAATCCTCTCTTGAATGCTAAAAAGAGCATAACCAGCTATAGGCTTATTCCAAGCAATGTCAACCACAAAAGTAAAATCATCACATTTAGTCCAATTTGAATCAAACACAAATCTTTTCTTATGTTGCACCTCAGGATTAGAATAATCAACCAAAAGCATACAGTGATCAGAAGACAGGAGAAAAAGATGTTTCACCAGAGAATGAGGAAAATGCTCAATCCAAGAGGGAGAGAAAAAAAATCTATCCAGTTTTTCCTCTATAAACTGAGTCCCTCTTCTATTGTTGCACCAGGTAAATGGATGCCCAAAAGACTTGGCTTCCACCATCTCTAAGGTTCTGATGAAATCCCTAAAAGGTTTAAATTTGGCCTCCTCCCTAATTAAACCCCCATTCTTCTCAGAATGAGAAAGAATATCATTAAAATCTCCACAAATAGCATTTCCCATTGAAGGGCCCTAGTTTTCATCTCAGTACTAGCATACACAAAAATAGCCAAAAGAGTCAGACAAGTTTTTATACTTGAACTCAACCTCCATACAAAAGTAATCTCCAGAATACAAATATTCTCAGACCAGGTCAAAAAGAGACCCCCTCTACTGCCTATGGGTTTAACATATTGCCATCTATCTTGCAACTTAAGCTTTCTACATTCTTTTTTTTTTTTTTTTTTTTTTTTTTTTTTTTTTTTTNNTTTTTTTTTTTTTTTCTGGCAGAAAAGCCAAATCTGGGTGAGTGACCCTTAAGGTTTCCTTGAACTGGGAAATCGTAGAGGGTCCACCCAAACCTCTACAATTCCACACGGTAACTTTCACTGGAAACCTCAGGACCATTGAGGTTCAGCTAGGGTTGGTTTCCTCCACCTCAAACAAGAAGACTTCATCAGACGATTTCAATTTTTTACACCCTATGAGTTTATCCAGTTTTGACTCAACTCCTGTTGGGGATAACTCCTCACACCTTCTTTTACCGGATCCCTTGCCTTTGTCAGAAGGACTAGAAGTACCAAGGACATTTAGAAGCATACCATCCTCAGGATATTCCTTAGTAGCTCTAGGTTTTCTAGTGAAGATGGATTTCTTCCTATGCATAGCCATTTCATCAATGGGAGAGGGTTGGATCTCCACCTCCACTAAATTAGCCACATCCACTAAATTAGATTCAGAAGGATGGTGAGCACTCTCCTTGATGGGATCCCCATGCTGGGGTTCAAAGAGTTCTCAGAACGAACCAAGGGTTGTTTAGAAGAGCCCACGGGTCGGCTACTTCCAACATCCCCCTTGAGAGTACTATCTTGGTTTAGAGAGATATTGACATTGCCCATCACCCCAACCTCAGGACTAGCCAAGGGGGCTTCTGTAGGAACATGGTTCATTTTAGCACTATTCTGGCTCTCAGGGTCAAGGCTACCAGGACTCCTGTTCTCATTATAGAAATAAGAAGAACCAAACACTCTAAGCCACTCCCCAAACTGGCCAACCATGAGAATACTATTGTTAACATCATCAGACTTAACAGAACATTTTCTGTTAGTGTGTCCAATTTTGCCACAATATAAGCAAAAAGTTTGCAAATTCTCATATAACCCACCTAGAAATCACCCCTAACTCTAATATGAGTCTCCCTAATCAGAGGCTCGTTGACTCTAATTTCAACAAGAGCTTTCACCACCTGACCTTGTCGCCCCCCATCCCTGGGATTATAACATCCAAGGGTTTACCCACTAATTTCCCAATCTTGAAACCCGTTTCAATGGAAAATCCAATGAAGGGGCAGGTTCAAAATGTGAACCCAAATTTTAATGACTTCTTCCTCTAGAGAAAAGTCAGTAGAATCAAGGTTCCAAAGCTTAAGAATCAAATATTGGCCATCAAAATATCAGGTTCTACCCCTAAGGATTCTATCCTATCCTCAGTTGATTCAGATAAGAATTGAAATCTGTTGCCCCCCAAATTTCTGATGGAGAAAGGTTGAGAAGTGGTCCAAATAATGCGAGGCGATAACGTCCATATGCATAAAACCAAGGATCATAATGCAATAATATATTTAAACAAATTATGTAGAATTTTTGGTTAGTTATACGAGTTTGATAATTAAGTTTATGGTCATGAAAAACTTTTATTTTCCAAAATGCCCATAGTTAATATATATATATCAACTAGTGTACGGCACCTAAAACCACAACGTGAGTGATTAAATAGAACTTAATTTGCTAGAGTTGGTTGAGGCATCATGCCATTAATCAAAATTCAACGCTTCATGTGTTATAATGAATTGACATTTTCTGTTTTTATTTTTTATATATAATAATTTATAAAAAAAAAGAAAAAGAAAAGCATGACAATATGAAAAATTTAAAAAACTAGTCTCACATGTATAAGGCCACGTTGTGATGATTGTCGCTAGCGTGTCAAGAAAAAACGTCAGCTCTGCCCGACGTGGTTTTCCGAGCAGAAAATCGTAAATTCAGTAAAAAAAAAAAGGTCCTACATTGGATTAATTTTGAAAACAGTGGGACTGTTTTGATTTTTATTATCTACAGGGACAAAAAATCAACACTCCATATACATGTTAGACTGATTTTGAAAAGTTTTCCTTTATATTTCAAATTAATCGATAAAACAAAATCGACAAGTCATAATGTAGTTCGAACGTAAGGTTAATTTGTCGACTTACGGGTCCGAGATACTTGATGCATTGATTCTGAAGCTTCGATTTCGGGCAGTCTTGGAGATCGACCTCCTTGCCGTCCCCAAGATCCAACCTAAGAACAATAAAAATATATATAAAAAATTGAATCTGGATGATTTTGTGCAAATAATATTGCTAGTGAACATTTTCTTGAATTTCACATGCTCAAATTAGGCTTCTAATTTTCTTACCAGTAGAAGAAAGGTTGTTCGGAATCGGATTTTCGCCACTCTTCAAAGTAAAGATACAAGTTTTTCCCATAACGGTGTTTTGGGTCGATCTAATTATTTTAGATAATTGAAGTTTAGTTAATAAAACTTCACATATATCACGTCAAATTCACATGGAGAGAGAGATTTTTACAGCTTCAATCCAATGCTCAAAAATTAGCTTCTGTGCCTTGGCATCTAGAGATAAACCTTTGCCAACCTGCAATGACGGATCTAGAAATTTTATTCAGGGGGACCAATTTAAATTGAAACGCTCATTTCATATAAAAATATATTTAATTTTGATAAATATAAATATGGATATGTATACCATCAAGTTCTTACAAACTTAGAATCTATATCACCCTCAAACTTTAAATAAAAATACACAAAAAAATATGAGATTTCATGTATTTATAATTTAAGTTCAACATATAGTTTATGGAAATATATATATATATATAGAGGTGCCAGTCAACGGGCCAAGGCCCGGTCCGCCAGGCCACGGGCCTTCCAATACATGGCCCGTGACCGGCCCGCTAAGAACCAAGGGCCGGTTCATAGAACCGGCCCGAACCGCCGGTTCACCTACCCGGCGGTTCACAGGCCGGTACGACCCTTAAAAAAATATAATTAACAATGTGGCCCGCCGTTCGGCCCGGATCGGACCGTCGGGACCAAAATAAAAAAAATGAAACAGGGACCGACCGCAACCCCAAGGGTCCGGTTCAACGAACCGGCCCTTAGGAGGGCGGTTCAGGGCCAGTTCGGGTCGTGCCGGTGACGGTTCGCGGGCCGGTTCGGCCCGTGGACATGTCTATATATATACTGCTGAAAATTTGATTTAAATTGAAGATTTTGTAACATATTTTTATGAGAGCTTATCAAATGAATATTTTTTTTAAATAAAAAAATAAATAAATGTAAATATATGTTATTACACAAGAAAAAAAAAAATATCAACATTAAAAAATGTAACAGTAATTTAACGAATTGAGTTTTATAAATCACTAAATCGTTTTATAATTAAAAGACCGAAATAGTAAATCATTATAAATATTTTCAAAAAACTCTAGAAACATAAAATATAAAGATTATAAGTATATTTTTTAATAAATAAATAATATTATTTAATTTATATTAAAATAGCATAAAAAATAAGTATGAAAAGGGCATATATACCTTGCTAGCATTCGAGCCGACTCGATTCCAACGGGACGCGGCTGTTTCGGGCTTTTTGTAAAACGACGTCGTTGAAATATTTAACTTTGCGAAGTCCAGCGCTTGCCACCTGGAGAAATTTCAATATTTTTTAATAAATAAATAAATAATTATTTATATTAATATAACCACATAAATTAAGAATTACAAAACGTTTAAAACCATTGAATCATTATTATCAGACCATTAATCGAGTTGAATTTGTTGGGAAAAATACGCTGAAATTTCCATGAAGTCGGATCTATAAAAGTGAAATAAAAAATTAAAATTTGGACACACCAAATTGATAACGGAGTTCGGCCAATAATGCCTACGTCTCCGGACTACTGCAGATATTTTATTGGGAAAAAGAAATACACTCGTGTTTACAAAACACTCTCAGAATCACTCACAACTCACAACACAAAAATACACACAAAAGCTAAAATTCTTTTTCTAGCTCACTCTCTTTTTTCTTTCTTCTTGTGTTGTTGTATTTTTGTTGTTGTATTTGGTGTGTATGGTTGATCAGAATTCCCCTCTATTTATAGAGGGGAGATGCACCTTTTTTTCCACAAAATTGTGTTGCAATTTTTCCACATAAGGCAGCTTCTCGGTTGCTGCAATATTGAAGACTTTGGGGCTGCTTGTTTTTCTTCTTTTTGCTCCTGTCAAAAGGAGTGGGCAGCAGCCCTACTTTTTCACTTAACAGAATTTAGTCAGATCTGATGAAGAGTGGAAACTCAAACCTAAATCTAACCATAAAGATGAAGTCAAACGATCGAGGGAGAGCCAACATCTAGAGCTGTTAAACGAAACTAACCGCTCGTGAGCTCGGCTCTGGTCGACTCGTTTATCAAACGAGTCGAGCTCGATTTCGCTTAAAACTCGTTTCGTTAACAAGTCAAACTCAACTTGATAAGACTCGTTCAAGCTTGAAAAATAATTTTATTTTATAATTCGACTCGTTAAATCTCGCTATCGGCTTGTTAAAACTCGAACCCAACTCGTTAATATTGATAATCGAGCCGAGCTCAAGCTTGATTTCTGGTTCATTTATTTTACGAGCCGAGTCGTTTGCAGCCCTAGCCAGCATCCCACAAAAAGAAAAATAAATAAACAAATAAACAAAAATCACGTAAAGTTCACCAGTTTTGTCCATCAAGAACAGCGGAGTCCGCTAACTTGCGCCGGTCAACGTGGCCTCGGAAGACTTTCTGAACCTTAACCGCCGCACTCAGTCTGCACCGGGTCGGTTCGTCGGTCGGAGCTCCGTTTACTGCATGTTCTAATGCTTCGTTTTCAGCCATTGCTTTTAATATGAGGTTTTGATTAACTGATCGAGAGCCTCTTTATGTTATCTTGTTATATTATTATATATATATAAAGAGGGACGGGGACTGGACATGGATATTTTTTATTTTATTATTTTATGTACTTTTAATTATTAATGATTATTAAATAATATTAACTAATATTTTATTATGGCTATATAAATCAATTCTAATTATTATATTTTTATTCTTACTCTATTCACAATCTGAAATAATTTTTTTTATCATTTATTTATTTATTTATTTATATATTTTTTTCAAATGAGACAATTTATTTCTATATTCAATAACACGTGTTGTTTGTTTTTATTTGTTGTTAGCCAGATAGATATATTGCGCTCATAACTGAATTATTCTACTAACGATTAGATCCACATATTATTTTTCTTAAATATATATATGCATATGTTGATTAAATAATATTATAATTTGGAAAGCAGGATGAATAAAACTGTGATATTTAATATGTAAATATATATTTTTTGTTGATATTGGCGAAATTTGTATTTTCTTCAACCGTTTGCTCTACATTTTACTCAACATTAACTAATTTTTTAGTTTTATTATTTTAATATCAATATATAACTTAAGAAGACACAATATTTTACCCAACAAATATTTTTACAATATTGATTATTTTTATTCTACTCGTCTTAGATATTATTAGACAAACAAATATTTTTGTTTTCAAATTTTAAATCATTTTATAGTTACTCAATTTAATTTTTTTTTTTCAAAATAAATTTGGGTGCAAGTGTGAAATTAAATTATACTATTTTTTACATTTAATGCACATTCTGTAAATATATTAATTAAAATATACATAAACAAAAAAAAAAAAAAGATGTGATTAGGGACGGATCCAGAAATTAAGAGTAGACTGAGCTAAAATTTCAAAAACTCATTTTTTTTTTCAAATATTCACTTAAAGTTATGCTCGACGAAAAAAAATCATTATACTCATTTTGCACCGTATTTGATGTGCTTTCACTAGTTTGACGTCGATCCCGTTTTCTAAAGAACAATGATGTTAGTGGAGTTTTTCTTTTTTGGGTTGAAAGTTTGTGCGCTATCTGAATTTCTAAAAATTCCACAATACAAATAAATATATTTTTTCATATGGCACAGTTCTTAGCAAAATGAAATGCCTATTCATCAAAAGTTTTTATCCAACTATGACATACAACAACCACACTAAAGGATAAGAGATTAAAAAAAAATACACACGCACACACACGCAATTACTACTTCATACACAATCAACAAAACAAGATATGCAACAAAATGATCCTGACAATTATTATTAGAACCCTAAATAGTTCAACTAAAATGAGAAGATAAATAAAGACAATTAGATAAATGAAACAAATATATAATAGGAGGTTTAAAAATATAACTTAATATTAAAGAAGAGATTAAATCGTCTTTTTGAAAGTAGTCTCTTTCTTGTTGAATATGTTTTTTTTTTCTTCTAAATTCAATGTTATGGTGAGTTCAGCGAAGGAACACATTCGTGGCTAATTTATTTGATTGGAGTTTGGTGTACAATGGTGTTTTGTGGATTAATGCTTAGTGAAAAACGTGAAATATCAATATATAATATTTTATTAGAATGGTGTTGATAGTCTTTGGACTTAATAAATAAGTGAAATATTTTGTTGCGTTAGGAGGTTGGTTTATTGAGCTGTGCTATAAATATAATAGTTTTTTTCAAATTAATAATTGTAAAAAAAAAAGAGACCTAGGTTTCAACCATCCATGGATGTGGCGTTGCCACATATTTGCGCCATAAGTATAACAGGCGCAACAGTGTTCATTGCATTATATTTCTGGTGAAAGTAAACGAAAAAAGATGATTAATTTCTGTTTACCAAATAAGTTGGAAGTTTTATAAAAAGCTCATGACATTTATTTAAACACATGAAATCTCTAAAATAAGTTATATAAGCTAGTTAACTTATAGTTTTTGAAGATCTTGCATCACAATATTGAGGGATTAAATTTTCTATTTTGAAATCATGTTTTGATTTATATTTCATTCCATTGAATGAATAGAATAACATGTGTTAATGAAATCACAATCATATACATTAATTATCTAATATATATATATATATATATATAGGGGCGTAGCCAGAAATATTTTTTACCCTGGGCTGCTAGAACCGATTTGGAGTATAACTTAGTTCGACTCGTAAAAAATCAATCGTGATTCATTCATATAATAAAACATAAAATGAAAACTTAGTTCAAACGAGCGGAGCTTAGTTGATTACACTCAATTTATTAAATGTTTCGAGCCAAATATGTTCATTTATTAGACGAACACAAGTTCGAACACAATGTACTCGGCTCAATTTGGCTTCAATGATATTTCGCTTAAATTGTGAAATTCCAAATGTCGTTTCATTGATCTGCTATGCAAATTAATGAATTTAAATTATCTATTTCGCATATTCAAA